TAATGGTGGTAACTGATGTGTTGTTAGCATATCCTGGTATAGCCTGAGACATAAGGTCAGCTCTCTTTTTTTTTTTTTTTCTTTTTTTTTCTTTTTCTTCCCTTTACGCCCGTATTTGCAATGCTTTTTGACAGTTGCAGTCAGAGCCTGTTTTGTTGTTTGTGTGCGAAGGAACGCTTCATTATATTTAATGAGCAGTGTGGAAACAATATGAAATTTCCTGAAAGCGGGGTGATTCACATATGGTGCAAAAAGAAAATAACACCCACTGATGACAGGAAAAGCACAAAATATTAATTAATAATAAAGAAGAAGAAGGTATTTTGACATTTCTGTATTATTTCCGGAACAGGTAACCCCTGTTCTTAGTGTGTGCAGGAAGAAAAGTTAATGGCATTCAGTCCATTATCATCCTAGAAAGACTTTTCCCTAATACAGAATAAGGCAAGTGTGAAGGTAAGTGAAACTTGTGCTTGAATACAGACAAGACTTTTCCATCACAAAAGATACTGTAGAGGTTCAGGACAGTAATGGAATAAATCATTTCACAAAGCAGAAGTTAAGTTCTGTCTTCATGACAGTTTGTTTGTCACACGTTCGTTACAATAACAATTTAGAACAAATAGTTATTATAATAGTTACTATTTACAAACAACCAAGTGTTTTAAAGAAGAGCACCATATATTCTTAATATGTTCCTGCTCTTTAAAGTTTTTTAAAAAACCCTATATCCTAAAAAAATATATATGATTCTGCTAACTGAATGTCATAATAGCAGAGCTGTAGTCTGAGGCTGTCCAGGGACTGTGAAGTGAATGTGTGCAGTAGTTACACAGTGTGAGGAGCTGCCTGTCTATTTATGTGACAATTATAACAAACACCCATGCAATTAGATGTTAAGTTCCCCTAGAAATTTCCAATGCCCAGGAGTCGTATTGTCCATATTTCAGAAGCCTGGCAGCTCATGTCTTCCAAGGTACCCGGCTCCATATACTGAACTTCAGCTGCATTTATTCCTCTGAAGGATACAGCCAGTTTTTAGGGTGGCTTTTACAGACGTTGAGAACAGACTATTTTTGCGCAGGTGTTTGTGTTTATGCCATTGAGATTTACAATTCTACATTTTTTTGTTGAACTAATGATTTATTTAAATGGCTGTTCTTTAATGTGCAGGTGAAACTCCAGCACACATCTGATTATTTTCATATTATTAATATGATAATATTTTTCTAATTAGGCACATTTTAGAAATTGTTAGCTGTCAATACTGCTGATAGTAACAATAATCTGGTCGTTGGAATAACATAAAGTAATAGATTGTAAGTATTATAGAATGTTGTGAAATTTCTGCTGAGAACTGTAAAGAAATTATTTATTTGTAAGTTAATCCGTATGCAAATCTAGTTCTTTTAGTCTTATATTAGCAATATTATCTAGAAAGATTTATACAAAATGCTGTATTCTAATTGCCGTTTCAGAGGAATTTTGCTTGCAACAAGCACCCA